TGGTTGTACATTCATCCAATAGTCAAATTCCCCAATATTTTCTCCATTATCTCTCTACAGAATATACTATCCCTTCCACCTGGCGTCTGACTTATTCCCTTCCCCTACGAAACCGGGTTTGAAGATTGTCATGACGACGGTTCCACCTATTAGCTTAACCCACTGTGCTAGTACTTCTACCAAGGGCTATGTTGACTGTTTATTATATCTATTTTGGTCTTCTGAAACTCTCAGATCTAACTGCCTGTCACAGGATGGTTGAAAAAGGTTGCATGTTTCGCCTCACCTATATTCTAGCATTTATATTTTAGGGAGTGGGTGGATAGACCCCAATTAACCTTCCGGTAAAACGGCAAAGTAACCTGAATGTCGACAATTCAATTTCCTTAGAGAGGATTATGTAATTAGAGCTAGAAAATTTCGAGCTGGCTGCTTAACTGGCAAAGGCAGGTGGTTCTCTTAGGGTGAAATGCTTGCCGTGGCTAGCAGTACCTTTAATTACGTCGTTTGAGCTTTTTAAATGGATACTCTGTCTTATGCAACGTCAACCGAAGTTCTGAAATGTTTTTTTTTCGATTCAAACAAGTTACCTACGTATAATTGTAATACCGATAATGATATAGCCTAACTTCAATATATTTCCGTCCCCTCAGGATGCCGGCTTCCGAATGATATTCTCTCCGACCGCCCGCTAAACGCATACTCCGTAAAATCTATTCGTGCTTTCGTAGTACTGCAAGCCACCTAGGTCATTTTTAAAACGGTTGATTCACATAAGATCACTCTAACTCGACTGACGAGAAAGAATTTCCTAGTCATATAAGTTGCCAGTAATCCCAAGTTCGCCCTGCGAGATATTCCAAAACTCAAATTTACAGGCAAAGTCAAGTGTATACTGCCAATGTTAAATTGCCGACTGTGACAATTAGCGACTAGGCAGGACGAAACAAATGTTGAGGCAAAATATATTTGCAAAATTACCGAAAATTGGCTCATCCTTTGCACTCCACGATAGCCATGACATAAAATTCGACCCGCTTTTAGTTAAAGGTGACGATGTGAAAAGTCCATTTCAATCAAGCAGCTAACACTCTGCCCCCACCAAGTCTTCAAAAGGCTCCGTAAATATGCGCAAACTGACATTGTCCGCAGTGATCAGCGCCCATGTTAGACAGTTGTTGATTTTTCTAAATTTTCAAACTTTAA